TTTTTTTTTTTCTTTTTTTCTAACTCCTTTCTTCGTCGATTTCGCGATGATCGATGGATCGCGAGGAGCATGTGTACGATGCTCTTCTCTTTCGTCGTCGTTCTTTGATCTCGATTTTTTTATTCACCGTTTCAGTTCAGTAATTCCAGTTCAATGAAGTAGCAGCTATATCTATAAAATCTTCCTCGCCGGTTTTCGCTTCTCGTGTTTTTTTTTAACAATTTCAAAGGAAAAATGCACTTTTCAAATTAACACTCGTTCGGTTCATCTTTTAAATCGTCGTGTTACCATGTATTCTATCCCGATCATTTCAGACAGTGATACGTAAGTGTCGGTGTACAAAACAGGGAATGGATGTTGCACGTGTGGCTGACCATACGAATCCCTGCTATTTCCGGGCAAAGCGCGGAGGAAAACGAGCGAAATCACTCCTCTAACGATCAACCTTTTGCGGGGGTTGGTCCTTCGATGCTATCGGTTTCCTGTTCGGCTGGGAACAGGCTCCGGTTCCCAATCTGCGTATTTTTCCACGAATTCCGCCGGGTTTTCACATTCCCACGCGCAATTTCTGCAATTTCTCGTACCTCGCTCACCTTATTTGCGTGAATTTGCAAATTGCTAGAATTCTCGAATCTTTTTCCCCGCGTCGCCGCTGTTAGTTCTAGCCCAGTTATTTGCATTTGCAATCTATTTGATTATTTTAATTAATATCCTGTTTGCGCTGTCCGTTAATTAAAACGTTATTTGTACTTTCGGCAGTTCGAGTTTAATTCCGCTCGGTACAATCAATATCCCATGATTAATGATACCTTTGTATCCACTGAATGGTTTCTTGAATGGTCGATTTGAAATTTAATGTTGAATTAATCGAAAGTCAAGCGTAGTCATTGCTTTATTTGTATTGGGAAAAAGGGCGGATTTTGGACAAATCTTCTTTTCAACTTTGAACTTCGACAGGGGTTTACCGTTGTCAAGGCGATTAATCACAAATAGATTACAAGTTTTTACGTATTTATGGGAAACTGGAAATATTAATTGTAGAAGAATACGCAGGATTTCCAAAGTAGTATATTTATTATAATATCATATTTATTATAATATTATAATAAAGTAGTATATTTATTATAATATCAGGTAAATGAAACTTCTACCTAGATTCCATTTCTTCAATTCTGTGATGTAAAAATGCCTAATCGTAATTAAACAGCCAATGGAATTGTATTAATCTGGCAAAGCATTCTGGACAGTCACTTATCATTGCCTATTCGTCCTCTAAACTCGTAGCTTTGTCAAAGTAAGTCTCTTCCAACTGTTCGCGAGCCAACCTGAAATTATCCCGAAAAATGTGAAAGATTCGCAGCGTATCATACGTTTTTCAATTGTTCGGACGTCGTTCTTGTTTTTAGCGCGACGTGGGTCCGCGGTTCGAGCCGCGAAATAACAGCGAGGGTGGTGTAATCTCGTGATCGCCGTTGTTTCCCTCCAGTAATTACGTAATACACCCCTCGTGAGGCGTAAGGTCACGCGGTGACGAACGTAAAAATGTTCACGCGAGAGTCGGATCTTGCTCGCCACCCTTTATTTTTTTTCTCCCCCCCCCTCTCTCTTTCTCTCTTTCTCTGAGCGAAAAGGGTGACGCATAGCCGAGAGATAAGCGAACGAGATCTCGCGTGTTATTTCCCCATAATTCTTGACGGTAATTTATGCTTTTCGTGGAAAAGTCGTTGGAATCGGGTGTGATGGTAGAGCAGAGAAAACAGAGGATGATTTCGCGAAATGATCGACGGAGGGAAGGGCAGAAGGGGAAGAGAACTATGTACTTTGTCGGGGATATCGTACGTTTTAGCTACTTCGTAAAATAAACAGCGACTGTCTTCCTCCAGTTTCGTCGCACACCCCCTGTCACAGGTTGCATTTTCATACGTTGTTTCGATCTCCCCCTCGGCCGGTATAACCCACACTCACTCCCTTCCCCTCCTGTTTGTTAGCAATTGTTAGCAAAGTGTACTCTCTGGACGCGGCATTTCATCCCGATGTTTTACGTCGTTTTCTCATTTTATTCGCCGCCGCTTGTTTCCCCTGGCAGTCGTGTTTTCCCTCTTACTTGTTTATTTGTTTCTTACTTAATTCCCCCCCGCCCCTCCGGGGCGCTTACTTCTAACTTCTGTTTCATCGAAGACTGAGAAATTGCGATTCCTTTCTCACCTCCATTTAGTTGTAACTTCTCGCTAGAATTTCTCTCTAGCCGTATCGCCGGGCACGTAAGTATGTATGTCGCACGCTGTGTCTCGCGTTTAGCTCATCTAGTTCCATTTTCCCCGCTCTATTTTTCTTCCTGTCGTTTTCAATTCCTCTGCCCCTCCACTTTCTCTCCCCGCAGGTCCTCCATTATTTATTTTCCTTGTTTTCGCCATATCTCCTCCGCGGCGCAATTCCTTTGTTGTCTCGTTCCTCCTTTTCTCTCTTTTTTATTTTCTCTACGAGATACAGTTTCCTTCTGACAGTGCTCTTTCGCTTTAATCCTACTCGCGTTTCTTCCTTTCCTTTTTTTTTTTTTTCCATCGTTTATTGTCGACTGCCGTCCTCCCATTTAATTCCATTTCTATCATCCCTCGATTCTTTCGCGTACGTTTCCCCTAAATTCCTCCTCTTAGCTCGCTCGCTTCCGCGTTCCTCCGGCGCGCGGAAGTTTGCCATTGAATGTCCTACACTGTCTTCGTTTCACTACCCCAGAAGAAGAAACGGAAGGAGAAATAGGGGGAAACAGAGGGTGGTTGGGAGAGAGATTCTCATGAGAAAGCAACCCCTGCACGAGCCCGTATTCTTACGCAACCAACCAGCCGCACCGATGTGCTCAAAGACTGTTTATTAAAAAGCTTTTAGCGATATTAGACTGTCCACGGGAAAATTTCCTTCGGGCGACACGAGGCGCCCGCGAAATTTCGCCGGACTCGTCATCGTGGTACAGATGGAAATATCATTGCAGTTAATTTATCAACAACCTTGATGATTCGTCGAACGAGGTAGCAAAAATCTTGATTGAAAGGGAAAAGTAAAAAGGAAATGTTCGTCTGTCGATGGTGATTCTATTTTTCTATAATGGCGGAACACGATGTTCGATTTTCTGTTTTCTGTAAAATTCGCGAATTTTCGTTGCGGGATGAAACAAGAAGGAAAATTGCACAATTTTTGCACGCAGTTGGGTCAAAGAACAGCTGTAAACTATTTTACGATTCACCGATCGAATTTACTTGCGATAGGGGCGATGGTTCGTCACGTTTGCGAGAAAGGGGGAAAAGTTGAAAAAAAAAAAAAAATTCCTGAACGCGTTGAACGATGTGCCAGTATGTACACTAATGGCCAAAAGTTTGGGGCGCGTTCTACGCGCGAGATAGACGAGCCTTTTATGCAAAAACCGAATGACGTAAAAGAAAGAATTTTTATGCCATTGTTATACCTTATATCACTTTCAGTGTGTATAAAAGAGAATGGAGGTTAAGCTTTCGAAACGCGATATTAAACCAAACAGGCAAAAGATTGACTTGCATCGCTTTTGTATTAAACAATTCACATACATATTTTAATATCACTACACGCTTTTAATACAACAGCGATTGTCTATTTTAATATAGAAAATTTATTAAATATGTGTGTTTTAATATAAAAAATAGCCGTGTATATAAAATATTTCAAATGTTTAAAATATTAATTAATATATCTATCATAGGCAGACCAAAAAAAAAAAAAAATATAATTCAGATTTTAGTCAAAATAATGTAAACCATTATTTTCAAAAGAATGATATATATTTTCTAAGTGTAATAAAACGAGAGATATGTTGTCAACATTCCACGTATGTTCAGAATCGAACACCTAATCTTACATTATGTCGTTTTAAATTTAATACACACATACGTAATATTTGTATTCAAATATTATAAATACTTTCCTACGACAAACTGACAATTCTCCTCTGCTCACGCATCCACAGATACAACGAGATCAATATGAAGTAAAAGTGAACCAAAACTTTTGGTCGTTACTGTATATCAAGGCTGGAGGAAAGAGGCGATAGAGAAAACTCTGGAAAACTTATTATATAGATCCGATTCGTCTCCTTTCGCATTTTTCATGTTCTATTCGCGTTTCAAGAGGCTGACAGAATTACTCGGCTATTTTTCTGCGTCGTCTTCATTGACCGATTGTCGTCGGTATTTATATCAGAATCGTGCCCCATTGCAATCAGAGTTCAGAGGCAATGAGAATTTCAGAATTAATTTGAAATTGAAACGAACGAACTAAGATCTTACTTTTCCTCAATCACAAACTTATCGTTTAAAACTCGTCAAATAAAATGAGACACAAAGTG